AAATCCCAGTTTTCTCTTTTCCTGTAAATCTGTGGGAAACTTTAACTAGACATCCCATTAACTTTAAAATATTGGGATCCTCTTTTGTCTCTAATTTTTTTTTTTTTACATCAAAAGCACCAGACAGCAGACAAAAATCTGTTCATGATTTTCTGTTTATGTAATTACAGACTAAAAACTTCCTCTGGTAGTTTTTTTTTCTTTTTAGATGTTTTGCAGAAGAAAGCAGCGGGGAGGCCAGTTAGAGACCAGTTAGCTGAGTTATTGGATCCCTGCAGCCAGAAATGCTCCACATTCATCACCAAACCACAGGGCCTATTATGAAATGATTCCATTGCCAAAGCATTCCAGGTCATAAAATAAGTGTAAATAAGCTGCAATTTTAAAGATTTGTATCGGATTGAGCTCATGTTCTGTTCTTTATTGCTTTCAGCACATGCTTTAAATCATCTGAAGGTTTTTCAATTAAGGCTTGATGTTTCTGCAGATAGAAGCACATTTCTGGAATCAATTGAACTGCTGCTATGTTGGTGTTGCAGAGATGAATTCATCAGAAAGTTTACTCCTTTGAATAAGGATACATTTCTACTTGTATCATAATTTTTATCATCTTATATGGGAGTGTGCTTTGGTGAAATTCCCAGAGACATGGATAGACGTAACTCTCCCCCTATGTCCTCGTCTATGTCTTCTTGGAGACAAAACAGCAATACCCCAGCTCACAAAAAAGGGGAAACTCAGTGTTGATGGTTGGGATAACCTCAGCTCAATTATCCTAAGACACAGGAAGGCACCCAAACACCCTACACTCCAGAAATGGAAAGTATTAATGACTGAAACTGTATCATAAGAGGTTTTGCTGACTAGATTAAGAGGCAAAGAGCAGGTGATGTTAAGCAATTGGGATTTTTTTCAAGCGTACCTGACTTATCAATAGTGGCTTTATTATAAGATTGGCAGGAATGTGAGCATTACAGTTTCAATCTTGTTATTGTTATAATATTTGTATATTCAGTGATGGGACTAACGGCGTTGAAAGTAACGGCGTTACTAACGCCGTTATCTTGTTTTAGTAACGAGTAATCTAACTAATTACTTTGACTGTAACTATAACGCAGTTACCATTGCAGGCACCCCGTTACTGCGCGTTACTTAGGTCGCGCAATGAACCTTTTTTCATGATAGGACTCGTGCGCAGCTGCGTGAAGCTGACACCCCACCCACGTCAAAAAACTCTGCAAATAGACTGAATGGTTAGTGCAACGTTAGTGCAGATTTGTGCAGAAAAAAATATTGTTTGTGCTACTTTTGTTTAAGAGATATTAAAGATTTATTTTAGGTCATCCAGAGGTGCGCGCCTTGTCATGAGAGAGGGGAGGATGAGATTCCGTCTGTCAGTTGAATAGGTGGGTGTTTCTGCTGGCGGGTGTTAACGTACAGCACACACAGAGAGATGGAGAGTGAGGATGACTCCAGCAGCAAAACAGCGTTTTCCACATGGAAATACCGGTGTTACGTAGAGCTGCGTTTCCCCATCACATAACGGTTTCCTCTGCATCTCCGCACAGCGCAGGCGGCACGAGTCACCGCGCAAGCGACAGGAAACGCGCATGCTCGCTAAAGGCGCGCAACAGTCGCTCTGTGCTCGCGCCACAGGAGAAGTATGGAGAGCGTGAACGATCAAATGAACCTGACAACAGCCAGAAATGATAGCCTATATGGAGAAAGGGAGAAATCTGGATGGATGGATGGATGGATGGATGGATGGATGGATGGATGGATGGATGGATGGATGGATGGATGGATGGATGCTCTGCCTTCTCAACCTACTGTATTTTTTATTTTAAACATTATTTGATGGCCTTTGTGGCAGGGATGGAGATCCATATTTTATGTCACACACAGAGTATACATCTAGATAGATAGATAGATAGATAGATAGATAGATAGATAGATAGATAGATAGATAGATAGATAGATAGATAGATAGATAGATAGATAGATAGATAGATAGATAGATAGATAGATAGATAGATAGATAGATAGATAGATAGATAGATGTTGCAGTATCTATAACAACCCAAACACACAGGATTTCAGAATTAGACATCCCCAGTTATTAATTTCATATACTCACCAGATCTGAATGTCCTGTTATAAAACTTCACATCGCGTTCCCCCTGATGTCATTTACGTTGAGTTGCAATAACTGCTAAACTCTCTGCAGGTTCTTGTCTTTGTCGTCCTCTCTATTCAGCTGGCTTTGGAAACACACGGCGAGAAGGTGGGGGCTGGGTGGTGAGGTTTACGGGGGCGAGAAACGCAAAAGTAACGCAATAGTTACTTTTACTAGTAACTAGTTACTTTTATTGTGGAGTAACTCAGTTAGTAACTCAGTTACTTTTTGGGAGAAGTAACTAGTAACTATAACTAATTACTTTTTCAAAGTAACGTGCCCAACACTGTGTATATTAGACATTACATTTTTTTCCTTTTATCATCCAGGAGCACATTTTATTTTAACTTTAATTGTCTGGCCGCGTGTTGTACGCTTTTATTTTCTGCATATTATACCATGTAAGCTTTGTACCTTATTTGTTTGATTGTTTAAATAAAAAAACTTACATCCTTTAAATAAGTTGGAGCTTGGAGATGTTTAAGTTTTGGTTCATTTCCTGCAGGATCCCACGGTGCAGATTAAATGACTTCATGAGAGGAGATCTGAACCTGCAGCTGCTTCTGGTTTACGCAGAACTTTAGTTTTAGTCCTGAAACATTCGAACATATCAGTGGATTTTAGCCAGCAGAGCAGATAAGCATCCAAGGTTCCTGCATGAATCCACGGATGGGTTTTTCCAATTTGGATGTTAAAGATGAAGTCATCTTTGAAGAAGATGAGTGAAGCATGTTGCTGTTATCAGATCTGAACGGATAGTAACTCTGGGAAAGCACGCAGCTTAACGCTCTGATTGCAGACACATGGAAACGTTCAGCAGCTGATTTGGGTCTGTGGCTTCAGTGAACCTCCAGGCTCTGTCTGGTGATAAGGCAGAAAGCAGCGGTCAGGAACAGCAATAGAACAAGAACTTGCTGTTTAAGATCATCACTCATTTTCTAATACATGTGGTCACATCAAAACAGACAAAGAGGAGTCACTTTTTTCATTTTTATTGAAAAAAAAACTCACAACAGTAATCAGTGAATATAAAACGAAAAGTGTTCAAACATCAAAATCTCACAGAAAGTCAGGAAACTGCAACAGAACCTGTTCAGAACCCGTAGATGATCCTGTTTTTATTGGACTTGTGGATCCAAGCAAATGAAAATCATGCATTATGTTATAAACATTTTCAGCTTGGATGAAATTGTCTGAAATTGTTTAAGGCTTTGATATTATTTAATTACTTGGTTATGGTTCCGTAAATCTGAATATTCTGAGCATCCAAACATTTTATCACATTAGAACGACAAGTGTTATTGTATTTAAATAGGTTTTTATAACAGAACACCTCAAACTGGAGGGATATTGATTATAATTTACATTTTCTTTTATCAAAACAAAATGATATTTTATTTTATTACCACAAAACCTTAAACTCTGTTCAGTGGTGCTGATTTTCCTTGCCTGGCAGCTTGTCCATTTTAAAAATGATTGTAAAATTGTTTTCAAATCATTAAATCACCTCCTCCAGTCCAACATCTCTGATGTTTTATCGTCCGACCTTGTTCTCTTAGATCAGCCAACCTTTACCCGGAACCAGAACCTTCTGGGTTCTAAGCTCTGGAACGATCTGTTGCTGTAAGGCAGAAAAACCTGACTCCCTGGTGTCCAAAGTTATGCATTTTTCATTTGATTTTAAATTCTAAAGGTTCTACTGGTGTTGATTATAATTTGCTTATATCTTTAAAGAACCTCAGCCACTGTTTTTTTTAAGTGCTTTAAAAATGGGGTTAATTAAAAGTCAGATAAAAGTCACTCTGTGTTTTGGTCCTTGTTTACTTTAAAATTAAAGTGGAAAAAAAAATGCTGAACTAAAGAAGAATAGTTAGTGCTTTTCATTTGAGGACGTTTTTTTATTTTGTCTGCATCTTCAGTAAAAAATATTCCACTTCCAAAGTGCTCTTTATGACAGAGCATGAAAGCCGTATTAAGACTTTTTTCTGAAATTACAAAATAAAGTCATAATGTTAAGAAAATCAAATCGTAATGACAATTGTCATAAAATAGTAATTTTAATGAGAAAAGGGCTTTGATAGTTATTAACCGAGCTCATCCACACTGCAAAAACAATCTTAAAATTAGTAAAATAAGCATATTTTCCCTCAATTTAAGTGGGTAAATACGAGGATCTGCCAGTGGAATGAATATGATTAGCCTTAAAATTAGAGAATTAGATATTATGCAGTTGAAATAAGAGACTGCAGTTGTTTTTATTTCTTATTTTAAATGTTAATTGTCTTTTTCCATTGGCAAAGTGTCTTATTTACCTGCTCAATTCAAGAAAAATTGCACTTAATTTAATTAATTTAATTTGCAGTGTAAATTGCAGCCTGAGCATTTTTTACTCAGAAAGAAGGCTTTACATTAAAGCAGGCTACATCTTTAATCGTGTAGTTGTCATGTTTTTTTTTTTTTTCTGTTCAAGTTTTATCTCTGAGTTTTCATTGGTCCTATTTCCATTTTGTGTTCTGGTTATTTTTGATTGTATTTGAGTTCTTAGACATTTCTTGTTTGCGCTCTTGTGTCCGTCTCCTTATGCCCAGCTACCTTCTTGGCTCCTCTGTTCACACCTGCTAATTAGCCTGCTAGCCTTTGTTTCTCTCCCATATATTCTCCTCCTGTTCAGTCACTCTTGGCTGGTTTGCCATCATTTCTTTGCCCCTTTGTTGTAAGTATTCCTGGTTCTATATTTTTGTGAAATTCTGAGGACTTATGTTTTTGGATTTTTGCTTCTGTTATCCTTTTGTTATTAAATCTTCAAGTAACCACCTTAAGCTTTTGTATCTGCATTTGGGTCCTGTCAAACCTCCACCCCACTGTCACAGTGAGGTGCATTAAATATTGACTGCTTTTACTGCTATACTGCTATTAAATCAGTGCACTTTCACTGATTTAATATCACAACTTTAATCTTGTAATATCAGGATTTATTTTTCTGTTTTAAAAAAAAAGTATATATATTTTTAAGTCATGGGCTGCTGAACCAAATTTGTACAATTCTTAAATCTTAGTCCAGAGGCTGAACAAATCATTCAACACCACCTAAAAGACTAACATGGCTTAAAAGCTCACCATTAAAAAAATGGACCCCAGTAAAATAAATCATGCTTCTTTTGGGCCGGTTCTGTAGACCGAACCAACCAGGCTTGCTAGAAATTATGGGACCAGTTCATGTTTTTCTGTATCCGCAGTTAAACATAAAGCCATGAGAAGATGCTGACAGAGAACAGAACCATAACACCAGATCACTGGTTTATGACCAGCATGTTATACTGGTCAAAGCAAGCATCAGCGTCCAGCACTGATTGAGAATAAATCACCTTAAATATGAAAACAAATTGAAATGAATAGGAAAATATATATATATAAAATGTCTGTTCTTCAGGAATGAAGAAGAATCTATAAAACAAACATAAATGAGTCGTAACAATCTTGTGAATGATGGAATAAGATCAGCCTCTGAGGACCAAAAAGGACTTAAACAAGAGCTGTAGAGAGAACAGTTTAGCTGAATTAAGTAGAATGAGGTTCTAGTTTGACCTTAAATAGCACCATGAATAATCAGACCCAGTCCCGCTGCTTTTATGACACTAAACACAGAACAAACCTTCCTGCTAAAGGCTAACAATGTACAGCGTTTAGGGCCAAGGTGAGGAACAAGATATGTGATGTGGGCTCAAACAGCCAACTGCGAATGGCATTTTGTTGCCATGGCGTTATGCAGTTTCCCTGACCTGCATCAGAACCGATCTGAAAATGAAGGATCAGTCCAAACAATTCACGGTAAGACTATAGATGTTTGCTACAAAGAGAGACTCTGTCCTGTTTTATCTGTGGTGAAAATTTGAGCAGTGTGATTTTTAGCAGTAAGCCGATGGATGATTTCAATTTTATGATTTGATGGATTTAACTAGATTCAGAGCAGCCAAAGAAGTCCATCCCGATTCTACGAGGGTAGCCTTCCAGCACCTTCAGTGACACCGGATCAAACTTCCAATAGTACAGTCCACTCAGGAAGTTAGCATAACCTGTCGAGAAGGAGAAAAGAGGTCAGATGTTTGAAAAGACTCAAACCCACCAGTTGTTTAACCCAACTCTGTTAATCTGACCCAAGGTCTTACCATAATTGTCCAGAAAGGCTGCATCGATGTGACTGGGTAGTCCAGTCCACTCATGCATGCTGCGAGGATGGAGATCATTCACCCTATTCTCCTGAGTGTTGAAGGGCCAGTAGAAGGAAGACTTGAAGAGGAAAATCTTCTCCATTTGGTTCTGCTCCCACCTCAGAGCTGCATTGATGTCTGTCACAGGAAGACCCAGCTGTACCAAAGACACTGGTCCAGATATCTTCCTCTCAGCATCAAACACCCAGTATTTGTCGCCTGCAGCAGCAACAAGAAATAAGTCTAGAAGTTACTGAGTTTGCTTATTAGAAGAAAATATATATAAAGCACTGAACTGAGTTTAATCTCACCTACTGGCTCTCAGGATAATTTTTATATTATTCATGGATGTGCCTTTTAAACACTAATAACACCTGCCTGCTACGTGATAAGGCTTATGTTTTCCCAAGCAGTTTATCTAGTTAGGACAGCTCTTCTGTCGGGCTAAAAGGTTATCTTCATTATAAACATAAAGATTTGGGAATGAAGCCGGAGCAAAGACAGAATGGATAATTCTTAACAGCGAGCTCTCTGTCGCTGTGCATTCAGAATGTCCTTGATATAGAACACTGTGTAATATCTTGATATGGCTGGAGCCAGTGATGTTTCCTCATTAATGAACATGATGTAATGATGTGACATTTGATGATGTGGCAGGGGGAGACCCTGGAGATGTATAAAATGATTCTTTAACTGTTATTCTAGCAATATTCTGAAGAAGCAAGCCCAGAGGTAAGTGCTGCCATCTGTGACCTGAGCCAGTTCTCTGATATTAGTAAGATTACAATTTCTGTAAAAACTGTTTTTTATGTCTCAGTTGTTTATTACATATACTATCATATTATTGCTTGTTTTGACAAACAAAATTCAATTTTGTTTTGTATACACAAATGATAAAATTATAATAAAAGTTGTCTCAAGAAAGAATTGGGGAGAGAAAGCTTAAAGATGTAAGAGATTCCCTTTGCATGTACAAATTCCTGTTTTAGCTCTACGTAGTGAAGAACCAGAAGATTAGTTAGAGTGGAGTAGAGTATGGTAGGGTAGGATACAGTAGGGTAGGGTAGAGTGGGGTAGGGTAGAGTAGGATAGGGTAGGGTAGGGTAGGGTAGAGTGGGGTAGGGTAGAGTCAGGTAGAGTAAAGTCAGGTAGAGTAGGGTAGGGTAGAGTAGGGTAGAGTGGGGTAGGGTAGGGTAGAGAGAGGTAGAGTACGGTAAGGTAGAGTAGGGTAGGGTGGGGTGGGGTAGGGTAGAGTCAAGTAGAGTAGAGTCAGATAGAGTAGGGTAGGGTAGGGTAGAGTGGGGTAGGGTAGGGTACAGTGAGGTAGGGCAGGGTGGGGTAGGTTAGGGTAGGGTAGAGTCAGGTAGAGTAGGGTAAAGTGGGGTAGGGTAGGGTAGAGTGAGGTAGAGTAGAGTAGGGTAGGGTAGAGTAGAAGAGGGTAGCGTAGAGTAGATTGGGGTAGGGTAGGGTAGAGTAGAGTGAGGTAGAGTAGGGTAAGGTAGAGTAGGGTAGGGTAGGGTAGAGTCAGGTAGAGTAGGGTAGAGTCAGGTAGAGTAGGGTAGGGTAGGGTAGAGTGGGGTAGAGTAGATTCAGGTAGAGTAGGGTAGGGTAGGTTAGGGTAGGGTAGGGTAACAGTGTTTCCCAAAGTGGGTGGGGCGCCCCCTAAGTGAGGCCATGCATAATTGCAGGGTGGATGCAGAAGAAATTAATTAGAGCGTTTTTAATAAAAAATATTTATGAATTGAAAGCAATGATGAATTACATTTCAAGGTAAAACAAACAGTTTAGATAATTATACCTTTGCTTTAAAGTTAGTGAATTCATGAGCAAAAGGAGATTATACTTTTTTTTTTTGCAATTTATGCCGAGTAACGCAGTTGTATTTTTTTTTTTTTTGTTTATCTGCTGAAAAAAGGTTGTTGTGGAACTACTGGATTAACATCATAAAGAATAGGCTGCTGAGAACCAGAATCTCACTGGTTGCTATGGTGATTCCCAACTTTTCTGGAAGGTAAAGGAAATTAGGGTTGGGCACCAAGAATGCAGGATGAATTGCTTGCTGGTTCTTACTTTTTAATTTTACTGAATTCGTTAACATTTTTAATGAACAATTCCTAGTCTGCCGACCACAACAGGAAGAGAAAACAGTGCGTGCGCAACATTCCATTTGTGGCAGCATTCGAAAATGTGGCACAAGAAAAAGAGATAGGAGCAGGAATGTTCTGCTTTCTTTTGTACCTTGGAAAAACCAGATGTTGCCAGACTTATCTTCATAGGCTGCATCAATGTAGTCAGGGATACCGCTCCAGTGGCGTGAAGACAAGGCTGGATAGCCACCCTGTAGACGTCCGTCACGGATACGCCAAACGTATCGAGACTTGAAGAAAAACAGCTCTCCCCTGATCATGGACACAGCATCAAAGCTTGTTCTACAGGCATCCAGCTGAGGAAAAGCAGACACTCATTACTTCAACCCTCATCTATTAATGCATGAGTTAAAAAGCAGAAAAAAGAGGAAAGTTTTCAATAGGGGATGGTACAGATTAAAAGTTCTGATCCAGTCCATATTTCTTTCCATTATCTTTCCTGATATCCAAATATTCCTAAATTAGTTTTTAAGTGGTTTCCATCAAACACTTCTTGAATGTATTTTTATGATCATTGCCAGCTTTCTATCTTTTCTTGGAGGCATTATTTAAAGACACAATGACTGGACCAGGACTGATGGTCAGTAGGTTCAAAAGTTCCAGCATCATGGTCTCACCAGTTCAGTCTCTATCTCATTGGTCTCTGTTATATCTGGCGGTGTGTACCGAGGAGGTCCATATAGATACTGGATCCCCCTCTTATCGTCTTCACTGAGCTTCAAAGGGTAGGAATCACTGTAGAAAGGACTCATGACGGCATCGGGCTCCAAGGAGTGCTGCAGGCCCAGAACATGGCCGAACTCATGAGCTGCAACCTGGAGGAGATCAGTCCCTTCAAAAAGACAAAGATTATTTAGTGATTAGCTTCACACACATCGTAAATAGTCCAAAATCATCTTACCAACACTATTCCCGACAGTCCAAAGTTCATCATAGTCGAAGTGGACTTCGCCCTCTTTGAGAGTTCGGGGAAAGAAAGCATGGGCCAGTATTCCTCCAGGACCGTCGAACGGTAAGTCATCACCATGCCAGTACCTGTAAAACCATGTCTGATTTTTATCTTATGACAAGTTTAAAGTAGCCTGGATGCCATTCCGAACTTAGTCCCGCCCACAACGTTTGAGGTCGGGAAGTTCGGTCTGGCATTGCTCAACAGTAGCGCGAGTATGCTAGCACAATATCTGGCGGGCCAATCAAATTGTCAGGGCGGGCTTTATACGATGATGGACAGATGATCAACAGTAACGTAATCAACCACGTGACCAAAGCGCGCTGGGGTGACAACAACAATGGCTGCCGCTGGAGAGTTTAGGTGAGTAGATTCTGCTATTAGGTCTGTTCTAGAAGATATCGACAGCAAAGTAATTTTAAAAGAGGAACAGAGAAACGCGATCAAGGCTCATCTTCTTATTCTAGGCGTGCAACTGCACGCTTTGATTTTTGTTGACAACAACTATGCATCGCTTAACATACGTCACGCACTCCGTTGCTCTTATTGGTTGTAGGTCTATCCAGTTGAGTGCAGAGGCATTTTCTTTCCTGGTTCGTTCAAAACACGCCCCATAATCACAGCTCTATGGAGCAGTATCAGACTCATATTCTGACTAGAATTGAGTAGGACTACGTCAGGCTAAATTTAAAGCATGTAAAGCATGTAAAACCAATGTTAGTACCCCCCTTTTTTGAAGGGCCCCATCTTTCACACTTTAAAGCTAAAATGACTACAAGTCCTCTGGAACAGTTTTCTTGAGACAAATAAGTTGAATTCTGGCCAAAGGCAAAAAAAAAGAAAAAAGCTGAAAATTAAATAAAACACCTTACATCAACTGAGAAGCACAAGATAGGAGGGATGAGGATTCTTTTTTTTTTGCAGCAACAGCACAAGTGCACCTTGCAGTAAAGTACTCTACAAAGTACTCTGGAGTCTTGAACCTGTACCAGAGTGGGTCATCAACAGAAACACAGCTGATCTACAGCAGAATATCTAAGAAAGAAAATAAACAAAGTGCTCCAATGATCTAGTCAAAATCCCGACCATAGCTTGTTTTAAATGCTGCAGTGGGAGCATTCTGAGCAGAAATAAATATCTCTGGACCCTAAATGTTGGACAGAGAGGTGGACTCAAGCTCCTATACAATGACATGAGACACTAATGGAGTCAGATGGAAAACCTGCAAGCTTTTGCTTTTTGAGGACAAAATTAAACTTTAAACGGTTTTACTTTAATGTAGAAATAAAATCTTTACTTCATGTCTTTATTTCAGAGGGTCACCTCTCAAAAAAAAATAAAAAAAGATCTGCAGGCTAGTAAAAAATTTCCATGTGTGAAAAGGAGTTATAGTTTTAATCTCTATCCTCTACAGGTCAAAACGTGAAGCAGAGATGGGTTTGGCAGAGAAACAAGAGTTCTGTTATGACAAGGACGTTTCAGCAGACAGATGCCAAAGTGAGTCGTCATACTATAACCATCCAGTTTGAGAGTATATATAGTATAATTCGATGATGATGAATGATTATCATGTGTCTTTTAAACTGATCCTGATAGATTTATGCCCCTGCTGATTATGAATTTTAGTCAGGAAAGATGTTTCTCCTTGGTTTTACCACGGCCCTACTGTGGTTTTACCTTTCTTACAACATCCAAAATATTTAGGTTATCCTGATCTGTTTTCTATATTTATGCTGCTATATGTTTAGGCTGCTGGATCACATAGGGACCACTTTACCTCATTCTGTTTCATTCTATTTCTATTCTTGTATTCCGCACTTTTTGTTAAGTTCCACTCATAACTTTGTCTCTGCTTTTTCCTGTCACAGTAGCTTTATCTGGTCTGTTCCTGCTTGGCTGTGACTCCATCCTGGATTGTAATATCAGCTGTGCTGCTACCATCAACATTTCTGTTAGACATTGGAGCTTGGACCGCTTCCATTGTAGTCCTCTTTTCTTTTAATTTGACTAACTGTATGTGCTCTCTTTCATCCTCTGATAAGAGAATTGTGTTGGAGCTCATCTGCCTGGTTGTGTCTTTACCGGATGGTTGGTATTGGTTGACAGTTACCTTTTATATACCTGCTTCTTTTTGTACGTCTGCCTCTCTCTCCTCGAACCCCTTTGTAGATGGCCGCTCACACAGGGCCTGTTTCTGCTGGAGGTTTCGTTCCTTTAAACAGGATCTTTCCTCTCCACTGTCGCTACATGCATGCTTTAGGTGAGGGATTGCTGAAGATTCAACAACAAAATCCAAGCGAAAATCGTCGCCTCAGTCTAATCCAGAAAGAGCATGTCTTGCAAGTCAATGACTGGATGCAATCACCTGGTTTTCCTAATCAATCTGATGGTATCTCCTCTGTAAAGTGTCTTCAGATGTGTTGTGAAATGGCTCTATATGAATAAACTGGATTGAATGGAATGTGTGTAATTATTCTGTAAAACATAGTTATTGTTCTAGAGAGGGCAGGAGACTTTAACATATTTCAGTCCTGGACCCCAGATGGATGGAGAAAAGCAGCAAGCACCCCTTCTGTTTTCTGTGTTTATGTTGACTGTTGAATCACAGTTGATTGTTCTTTGGTTTCTTACCTGTTAAAGTCAATGATGATGTCTGCTCTCTCATTAACAACCTCTCTGAGTGTCAGAGGAGTTACTGCGCCCCAAACTTCAAAGGCCTCTTTTAAGACGTCCCGAACTTTGTCTTCACTCATCTGCCATGGAAAACGAAGAATCCTGGAGGACACAGACATCAAATTGAGGTCCCTAAAGATGAGCTCAAATTGGAATTTTATACTCTAAAGAGTTAGGATGTGGAGAATTCGATCAAAGCGAGACTAAAAGTACCTTAGAAGCAGCAGATTTTCATTTCTAACCTGTAAGTGAGATCAAATTTGTCCCAGCGTCCTCCAAATAGAGCGAATCGTTTCCCGCGCTGCTTTCTGCTCCTCTTCCTGCTGTGGTTTGATGCGTCGAGGGGTGTTACTTTTGGATAGTCTGGGACTCCACACCGAGGACGATTCCAGAACTCTGTCTCATTTCTGGACACCAGAGAAGACTTTGAATTGACCTCTTGGTTTAGAGCATCCTGCCTGTGTCTGCCTCTCTTCTTTAAGACGACATGGCTGTTGCTGTGAGGCTTTTCCTGCAGACAGACAGCAGTTTTTACATTCATTAAAGACTTAATTTCAGGTTTCTGCCCTCTGTTTTGGTTTATTTTTATTTTCTTTGTTATTTTGTGTCTTTGTAGTTGTTTTCTGTCAGTTTTGTATTTCCTAAGTTGCTCTCTGTTTCCCCTTGTGCCTGTTTCCTTGGCTCCCTTCTAGCTAGTTCTATTCACACCTGCTCCATATCAGCTCATTAGCCCATCCTTTGCTCTGTTCCCCATATATACACCACTTCTGCAGTTCCTCATTGCTGGTTCCTTGTTGTTTTGTTGCTTTCTTGCTGGCTCCCTCCCCATACGTTGTTTCTCCCTGGGATCTCCTGATTTTTGTTTTCTTATTTTTGTTCTTGGATTTTTGCCTCAGTTGCCTGTTGAACCTCTATTAAATCTGCAAACTCATCTCTGCATGTGGGTCCTCAAAAACCTCCACAGACCTTGACACTTAGAATGAGAATTAAGTACAGGATGGTGAAAATCAAAGGATTTTGTATTTTAAACTGTATCTTTTCCTTTAAAACAATATCCTTCGATCTCTATGTTGAACTATCTACATATACTGGGTGGTCAAAGTGCTGCGCATCTTAAAATCTGAAAAATAGCAATAATGAGATGAGAAATTTGTTCTAAAATCAAGCGCAATGAGTACATCTCTCCAGTATTGTCCTCCTGAAAGAACTAAGGATCTTTAAAGACTGGACTAGTGTAACGTAAACCGAGTCTAGATCCGAATGTTCTGAATCTGTCAGGACAAACAAAATCATATGATTTCTGTTTGTGACACATGCTAATGTCCTTGCCTTCATATATTTTGAGTTTTATAACATACAGTTTAAGCCTTTCACAACATTTATGTAACTTTTGTTTTTTGTAGTTCTTTTCTGAAAGTTTGGTCAGTGTGATTCTGTATGACGACTTTCATAAGGCTTAAGCACAGCAGTCTGGAGCTCCTTTTCTCTTTGATGATCCAGAGAAAAGTGGAGGAAAAGGAGCAAAGAACAGGAGGTAGGGGCTGCAATCTAAGGTATTCAGACTGAGCCAGAGTTAAATCACGCAGACAGCATCCCACAATCCCCTGTGCTTTCTTCACAGCCCCTGATAAGTTTCTTATTTGGCCATGAAGCCATTGTAGAAAATGCGACACTGCAAAGGTTGCTGGTATGTTTTGGTATTTTTAAAATATTCTTTAAATGGGGCTGTTCAGTGGTGCAGTGGGTAGCACTGGTGCCTTGCAGCAAAAAGGTCCTGGGTTCAAATCCTGGCCCTGGGTCTTTCTGTATGGAGTTTGCATGTTCTTCCTGAGCATCTGTGCGTTCTCTCCAGGTACTCCCGCTTCCTTACACAGTCCAAAAACATGACTATTAGGTTAATTAGCTTCTCTAAATTCTCCTTTGGTGGGACTGTGTGTGTGAATGGTTGTTTGTCCTTTTTGTCTCTGTGTTGCCCTGCAATGGATTAGCGACCTGTCCAGGGTGTAACCCTATCCCAAGCCGGTAGACAGCTGGGGATAGGCACCAGCACCCATTGCGATCCCGCTTTGCATAAGCCTTACGGAAAATGGCTGGATGGATGGATGATTTCACATTGGTTAAGGAGCAGTGGGCTGCCATTGTGCCAAGGGAGCAGTGTTAGAAAACAGTGTGAAATAGTGAGAACAGCAGAGAAGATCATCAGGGCCTCGATTAAAGACATTTAATTCCAGCGCTGTGTGTCCCAAGCCCGAAATATTGTCAATGACCCCTCACACCCGCAGCATGGACTGTTCTGCCCGCTGCCCTCTGGGAAGAGGCTTCGAAGCATTCAATGCAGGTTCAGCAGATTCAATAACAGTTTCTACCTCACCACCATTAGACTGCTGAATGTTGCATTAAACTGACCATATCTATGTGTGGTTTTAACATCATGTTTTTTCTCTCCCAATGTTTACATTTGATCAATGCTGCACTTTAAGAAATGGAAATGTCATGAGAGCTGTACAAACTGAAATTTTGCTTGTGTATACAATATAATATACACTGTGTATACAAAATGACAATAAAGTTTATCTAAGTCTTGGATTAAGGGTCTTACTCAGGGACCAGTCCGTGGGAGTGGGGTTCAAACCCAGAACCTCAGGATTCGAAGCTCTACACCCAAACCACTAGGTCATGGCACCATAGATGTGACACTGCAATGATTGGTGGTATGTTTTGGTTTTTCTTTTTGTTTCTAAATGTTTAAACGATTATCCATTTCCTTACTTTTTGGAACTTTTTCCTAAAGCATCTTCCAATTGGAGCCCTGATTTTTCTTTATGTTTCCAGGACTGGAATAATCTTGCACTCACTGTAAATGTGTCTAATACAGTTAATGATTTTAAAACGGTTTTAAATTTTGCTTTCATTTCCAGTTGGCCAGGAGCATCAAGAGGGTTTTTCTTATATTTTAGTGTTTTTTGTTTTTACGGCTTTTACTGTATTAGTTTGAATCTTTTGTCTAGAATCTTAGATGAAGGAAGGAAAACGATGGTACTTCATTCTGATATGATTGGAAGTACTACAGTGAAATCCAATTATATACAGTTTATTGTCACGGTAAACTGAAAAAAAATTGCAAACTGTTACATCAGAGAAGCTAAACCTCAGAAACAGCGAAGATAAAACAGAAGCATCAGTACACATGGGGTCATAAATCCATACGAAAACAGGAGCAGACATCATTGTCATTGTCATCCTCCTTCATCACAGCATGACATCAGCTACTCCGGGATCTTGGTTCATGTTCTGCTGAGCAATCTGAAGTCAGCAACAAAGACTGAGAGCTGCTGAGTGAGCTGTTTGGAGCAATACTCCCCGGTACATTCTGTCAAATCATCTTACACTCCTCGTGTTCATGAGTCAGGGTACTGATGCATCCAGCCCTCAACAATAACAACACATTACATGATAGTGTTGTAATTTCTTTGGCAAAACATAAAATGTCAAAACAGGGAGTCGACGTTTTATTTCTCAATGCCAGTGTAAACAAACTATGAACATTTCACCCCCAACCTGCAGGCTGATTCAGAAACATTATGCTACCATCAGGTCTGTGCAGACATTTGGTTTTAATGGTGATCATAACAAGATTGAAGACTATAATCAACTTTTTAGAGTCTGTTCACCTTTATTTGAACTTTACATATGATTTAGGACAAAGCGTTTTTTCGACTCTATACAGCGAATGGTGCTACCTACATTAATTACAAGTACCAAGTATAGAATCTGCTACCTGTAGGGGAGTGCTAGCTTAGTGGTTAGAGCAGTGCGCTTGTACTCTGAGAAGATTGCAAGTACCCAGTTCGATCCCCACAGCCTGCACTCTGGGTACCCGAGCAAGACCCTTAACCCCACACTGCTCCCCGGGTGCTGCGCAGTGGGAATGGGTTAAATGCCGAGAGTGAATTTCCCCATTGTGGGATATTAAAGGGATTTACATTACAGTAACCTTCTAGAGAAATACAATGGAGTATTAGGGCCAGGCTAGACATTTTCTTTTGTTCTATTCCGAGAATAAAGTCGCAACAAGAATGGTCGTAAAATTACAAGAATAAAGTCGCAACCAGAATGGTCTTAAAATTACGAGAAGAAAGTCGTAACATTACGAGAATAAAGTTGTAAAATTACGATAATAAAGTCGCAACGAGAAAGGTTGTAATATTACAAAAATAAAGTCGTAACATTACGAGAATGAAGTCGCAACAAGAATGGTTGTAATGTTACGAGAATAAAGTCGTAACATTACGAGAATGAAGTCGTAAAATTATGAGAATGAAGTCGTAAAATTACGAGAATAAAGTTGCAACGAGAATGAAGTCGTAAAATTACGAGAATAAAGTTGCAACGAGAATGGTTGTAATATTACGGAAATAAAGTTGTAACATTACGAGAATGAAGTTGTAAAATAATGAGAATAAAGTCGGAACGAGAAAGGTTGTAATATTACGAGAATAAAGTCGTAACATTACGAGAATGAAGTCTTAAAATTAAGAGAATAAAGTCGCAACAAGAATGGTTGTAATATTACGAGAATAAAGTCGTAACATTACGAGAATGAAGTCGTAAAATTACGAGAATAAAGTCGCAACGAGAATTGTTGTAACATTATGAGAATAAAGTCGTAACATTACGAGAATGAAGTCGTAAAATTACGAGAATAAAGTCGCAACGAGAATTGTTGTAATATTACGAGAATAAAGTCGTAACATTACGAGAATGAAGTCGTAAAATTACGAGAATAAATCGCAATGAGAATGGTTGCAATATTACGAGAATAAAGTTGTAACATTACAAGAATGAAGTCGTAAAATTACGAGAATAAAGTCGCAACAAGAATGGTTGTAATATTACGAGAATAAAGTCATTAACTTAAGAGAAACAAGTTGTATTTTATGACAACTCTTAAAAGAAGCACTTTCTTCCCTAAAATGAGGAACGGTGACCATCATGTGAAGTTATACTTTGCCTCTGGTTTGACAAATTAGGAAATCTTTTAGCACCAGTATCAAATTGGGCAGAATGGCAACGTGGACGCAGGTTGCTGATTGGTGGAGCTGGTCGGCCGTCATATGGTGGTCGGAGCTCGAAGTTTTCTTTTTGAAACGAGCTGTTGTATGATGACTTCATTCTCGTAATATTACAACTTTATTCTCGTAATTTTACGACTTTATTCTCGAAATAGAAAAAAAAAATCTCTAGCCTGGCCCTAATACTCCGTCGTCAGAGTAACATCCTTTTAACAGATAAAAGCAAATAGATATTAGTCACAGTAATGACTTCTAAACAGAGTTTTTTTTTTAAATAGGATGCTTTTTTTCCTTGAGCATTTTCATTTTTATATGAAAATGCCTTTGTTCTAGTTTTAACACTTTTTTCCATCTTGTTTTTATAGACTTGCTCACATGCTTTGCCAGTGACACATTCAAATCATCCCACTGTGGGAGTATGGCAAGAAACAGCATGGCT